AGACAAAAGAAAAATGAGGAGGAACCCAATGGAGGGATGTTTTTGGAAGCCCTCATCAAGAAATTCAAAGGGACTCTCATATGAACATTTGAAAATTGCCCTGTTCTGACTTTTTTCTAGTTCCCTGTCTAGAACTTGTAATGCTAATTACTCTTGCCTTTACTTCTCCTTCACATCTCCTATTCATGATTCAAGGACTTTCTTTTCCCCCTAGAGACAAGAGTTATACAATTTGGGAGTCTTTTAGGTAGACACACTGAAAGGGCACTCCAGTTGCCTCACCTTGCATCCCTGTTCAGCATGGAAGAAGCCATAGCGGTCTGTGTCCCTATTCCCTATTGGCAATTTGGGTAACCCCTTCAGAGGATGATGTGGTAAGAATAGGAGATAGGAATTGGCTAGGCAGTTAGGGTAAAAGACTCCAAAGAAATGTGGCCATTTTCTTGGCTAAAAGTCAAAATGTCCTTGGGCCTCTTAGCAACACACTCTGTTCCAAAGGCCAAAAACGTCAAAAGTATTTGGGAGCTTGTATCTAATCCTTAAAAGATTTTAGGGTTACCTCTTCAGAGGGGAGGGAGGGGCATGGATTTGATGTTGGAGGGGAGGGAGTGGGCATGGATTTGATCAAAACACCTTATATGCATGTATGAAATTCTCAATAAAGTTTTTGTAAAAGTTAAAAAAAAAAAAAAAAAAAAAAAAGAGCTCACAATCCAGTGGCAGAAAAGACCCTGGATATAAAAATGTCCGATAAAATACTAAGTAGGCTATGGGACTTTTTACTTCCTTGAGGCAATTTTCTTTTGTATCTTTGGTAACTCTGAGCTTATTCTCTCATTTGCAGAGGTCTAATATTCACCACAGTTGTCCCTGGAATGACCACTGAATTGATAAAAAGACATATAAGAACAGGTTGTGTTTGGACAGGAGAGGAAGGAGTTTTATTAAGGGGCTAGAGAGATGGCTCAGCAGTTAAGAACTGACTGCTCTTGAAGAAGACACAGGTTTGGTTCCCAGCACCCACAGGGTGGCTAACAACCATTTGTAACTCCAGTTCCAGGGGATCTGATGCCTTCTTCTAGCCTCTACAGGAACTGTATGCACATGGTACACTTACATAAATTCAGGCAAAACACTCATATATATAAAATAAAAATAAATAATTTTTCAGTTTTCATTAAAAGATGGTGGCTCCACTGCTAAAATAAAAGCTTAAAAACACTTTATTTACAATGTCTATTTTATTACAATCATCTATTTGATTAGTGAAATCTCTTTCCCCATTAGAGTAGTAAACTTTTATATAGCAAAGATTTCTTTTTCTCCCTTCTTGAGACAAGGTCTTGCTATAATAGGGGCCAAGCTGGTCTCAAACTCTCTGCCTCCCAAGTATGGGACTACAGGTACAAACCACAGTGTCTGGCTACGGATTATGTTTTACATAACTATATGTCTCCTGCAGTGCCAGAAACCACATCCTAAAATTCCTAACTACTGATATAACACCTTCAGTCTGATCAGAATTTTGGTATTTAGAAATGCCTAGCCACAGAGATCTGAGAAGTTCAGTTCAACAAGCTTCACTAAACATACAGTATAAGATGTACTATATTAATTAATGTAATAGAAATGGAGCCAGCAAAAGAGTAGTTTAAAGGTAGAATATCAGAGATTGGTAGTGACACAAATTCAAGAAAGGAAGATGTTGAAAGAAGGTAGGCAGCCACAAAATTTCAAATATGAACAAGATTTCAAAGTGAAATAGAGATTTCAAGTGTCTTGGATTTAAGTTAGTTACCTTCAGGGGTACTGTTGTGAAAGTTAAAGTATAAGCCGCATGTCTAAAAGTTTGGCAGTGTGAGGAAGAAAAATCCTGAAGCAGTGGCATAAAGAGTAATACAAGTGATCTCTGCCCATTACATAAGAAAGAGAATCATGTTTCCCTGACATCAGAAGAAAAACTATAGACAGAAAGGAAGTTATCTTTCACTCAAAGAGGTTCCAAAGGAATGAAAATCAAGTATTTACAATGTTTATTTAAAAAGCTTGCTTGAAGCTGGGCATAGTAGCACACACCTTTAATCCTAGCACTCCAGAGGCAGAGGCAGGCAGACAGATCTCTGGGAGATAGAAGCTAGCCTGGCCTACACAGAGAATTCCAGGCCAGTTGAGATAACAGGGACACCCTGTCTCAAAACAAACAAAAAGCACACTTGATTATGGAAGGGCAGAATATAATGACATAGAACAAGGTTTTAAAAAATATATTATCTTACTTAGTACTACATTTGGTAACTGATTAATAGTTCATACCTTCACCACTTTCCATGCCTTCTACAAAAATCCCTCCACACTGGGGAAGAATCCAGTATCTGCGTCGGTAACGATCTTGGCCGAACATCATCGACCGTAATGAGTGAGAAGCATCAAAGAGCTTTCTTCTGTACTGGCCCTGTTGCTGTTAAAGAACAGTCGATGTAATTATATTTTAGAAGGCAAGTGCATTAAAAGTTAACCTAGGTGACTTTAACTTATGGCTTCATAGTAGCAACATTTCACAACAAAAGGCTAAATGTTATATACCTGATTTCAATTTTATTCACACTTATGACAGAAATGACATTAAGGATAATTTCAAAACAGGGAGGATTATAAGGACCTTGGATCTAAGCAAGGATTAAAATGGTAAGTTTTGTTTTATCAGGCACCTTACAAAAAATACACCTTAAATATGAAAAACATGATTGCATATGTAATCAAATATATTATGGCATCAAAGCAAATTGGCTCACTTCTGATTACACTATACTGTCAACAATGCTTCCACATGTAATTCACCAAGGCCATATTTCCTAGTGTTACACACATGCCTAATCAACATATGACTAAACACCTAGATAAATTCACCTAGATGAATTGAACACTGAGGCAATAATACATAGGTATCTTATAATGATGGACCCAAGTCCCCCCAAATGATGGACCCAAGTCCCTCCAAAATGATGGATTTAAACTAAAATCCCCCAGGCCTGAGAAAAACTGTACAAGGAAGTAAAAATGAAAAATAATTCTAAAGAACAAGCTGAGCTGACCTTTTTCATGCTCCTTGCCCAAGCTGGAAATCATCCCAGAAATTCCCCCTACCTCTGCTTGGCACATAGCTGCCGCTTTTCTGCTTGGAACATAGCCGCCACTTGTCTTTAAAAGAAACCTGTGAACTGGGCTCTGGGCTTCTGTCCTCCGAGTGAGGTGGGAGTCCGTTTTGCAAAACGCCAATAAATCCTCATGCTTGTTGCATCTCCTGATTTGAGGACTGAGTTATTGGGGTGCGACCTCCCGTGAACGTTGGGTACCCCAGTCTGGGGTCCAACAATCCGAAGCCCTCTTCTGACCTCTGCAGCACTGCGCGACATGGGTGCACTCACATACATTCAGGGAATACACTCATACACAAAAAAAATAAAAATAATAATAAAAATAACAATTAAAATAAAATTATAATGTAATAGTCACCAAAAAGCTTACTGTAATCTTAAATTTAAAAAACAACATATACTTTGGGGACTGGAGAGATGGCTCAGTGGTTAAGAGCACTGACTGCTCTCGCAGAGGACCAGGGTTCAATTCCCAGCACCCATACGGTGGCTAACCGTTCTAACTTCAGTTCCTGGGGATCTGATGCCCTCTTCTGACCTCAGCAGGCACTGTATGACACAGTTGCATTTACACACATGCAGGCAGTACACTCACACACAAAAAAATAAATGAATAAAATATATTTTAAATGATCTTACATGGTAGAGTAAGAAATATAGTAAGTAAAGAAGTCATTTTTTAATTTTATGAAAACAAGTTCTTTTTAACCTTGCCTTTAGTTCATCCTATTATAAAGTATGATAGATATAGTGGTTTGTTTGTTTTTTTGGTTTTTT